GCCGACCCGAAAATATAAGGGTTGGGTTGGGTTGCAAAAGTCATTTGGGTTTTTCAAGTAGTAGAGTCAACCAACTCGAATTTCGAGTTGGTCCAAAAAATCCCTCTAACCTCACCCGACCCAACCTGTGAACACCCCTACGGGTTTTGCTTGACGAAACTAAGTTTCGTCGGGAAAAACCCTGATACCATTATTCTCGTTGGGCACAGCTTATATATAATTCCGAAGAAAATAAAAGCGTTGGCAAACATTGCGTCGGAAAAAACCTCAATTCTTGTAGTGTTTTGAAATGAAAGATTTAGGAGATGCTGRTGTAGAAATAAGGAAAAATAATAATGAGTGTTCCTTATGTCAATCATACTACATTGAGAGAATGCTGAAAAATTTGATCACTTTGATAAATCACCTGTAAGAACACCTTATGATGATACCATGAGTCTTAAAATGAATCAAGGCAATAGTATATCTCAATCTGAATATGCAAAAATCAKAGGTAGTGTCATGTTTTTAATGAATTACACTAGACCTAATATTGCACATGCGGTAAGTAGATTGAGTAGATACACTCATAACTCTGGTAAAGATCATTGGATTGCTCTACATAGGTTGTTAAGGTATCTTAGGGGATAATGGACTATTGTTTGCATTTTAACAAGTTTTCTACTGTGATAGAAGAATATTGTGATGCAAACTGAGTTATAGATAATGATGAAGTGAGCTCCACTATCGAGTATGTGTTTACTTTTGGCAGTCGAACTATCTCATGAAAATCAGAAAAACTCAGACCTACATTGCTCGCTTTACCATGAAATCTGAGTTCATAGCACATGAATTGGCAATCAAGAGGTTGAATGGATGAGAAGTCTTCTTGGAGACGTGSCACTGTGGGGGAATCTGTACTTGTATCCATACACTGTGACTCATAAGCTGCCATATGGATTGCCAAAAATAGTGTGTATAATGAATGATAAGAGATGCCACATACGTCTAAGACATGGAACTGTGAAGCAGTTGCGAAAAGATGAAATCATATCCTTGGAGTATATGAGGTTCGAGAGGAATCTAGCAGATTCTCTCACCTAAGGCCAAACAAAGAGAGTAATTATGAAGTCCTCAGGATGTATGAGACTTAAGCCATGATACTTACTCACTGGCATGCATCCCTAGCCTTTCTTTTGGGTGGTCAATGTATGAACTTGATGGATGTAGTGAAACATATGTGAATCCATATCCCTTTTTTGGGTGGTCCATCCATGGACTTGATGAATAGTATTCAAAGTCTTCATAGCTCARTTTTTTAGTGGTTTATCTATGATAAACTTGATGAAGCGACAACATGACTATGGAGGTGAGACCGCCTTCTATGAAAGAGTTGAATARCCTCTTTCTAGAGCTTTCACGATGACCCAAGGTGTATRTGCATGACCACTAAAAKCATTTGATAACTATCGCAGAATCAAAATCGAGGATAAAAACGTGTTGTGGGGGTCTCAACTATAAACATTGGAAGTTTAAAAGGTAACTCACTTTCATTACTTAKGTTGTTGCCCTATTTCATTGTGCATTAATTCAAATCTAAAGATATTAATGCTTAAGTTTTTTATCATTTGCTCAGAAAATTCATCCTTCTTCTTAMTTTTTTTTTACTATGTTGTCATTCATGGGAGATTGTTGGGAATGACAAATATTAAAACCTGTTTTGTCCCACATTAGAAGTATAATGTTTAGGAGTTGGTTTATAAGCATTGACTGTGTATTGGGCTTATAAACAGTTGGGAATGACAAATATTAAAATTTATCTTATCCTACATTGGAAGTATAACATTTGAGAAGTTAGTTTACAAGTATTGACTGTGTATTGGACTTATAAACTTGGTGTAAGGTAAGCTGYGCGCCGCCGCCGCCGTCTAGCTCGAGTTAGAGTCTGCCTTGCTTTTTGGRAYAAATTTCTTCTACAAATTGGTTTTTACGGTTTTTTAATTTAGTCAAAACCACATGGCGATCTCAAAGGCATTGGTGGATACGTTGATGGATGAACGTTGGCTAAGGAAGTTAGAAGACGGGTGGTAGTTGTAAAGAAAGAAGTGGCAAGTTAGAGGACATGTGAGTGGCCACAATATTTCTGGATTTTTTATCTTTTAAAAAATTAAATYCTATTTTGAGCTTTTTCTTCAGTATAAACAAGGTCACTTCCCTGCCAAATTGAATATCCAATCTAGTCATCTAATCATCCAWACAAGGTCACTTCCAGTGCCCGCAGTGGAAACATTACCCTTTGGCTGCAGCCTTAGCCTTTTTCCTCTTATGGACAGCAGCGGGGACATTTTTATTCCTCTGTCTACCCTTATTCTTTTTGAAGTTCTTCGAACCCGAAGAGGAAGGTCCAGACTTAGTCCAAGAGGTCGAACCTTTGTGGAAGTTTTTGTTGGAGGTGACAACATTTGCCACTCCTTCAAGTCCCTTGTTTTTCATGAGGGACTCATAAGTCTTGAGCTCGTTGATGAGCGTGGTCARGTTGTATTCCAGTTTATTCAGCGTTGTTGTGAAATTGAAGRAACCTCTTCAGAAGAGACTCCAAAATAAAACTGACTTGGCTGGACTCATTGATGATAGCATGATTCATCTTCACCACGTTGAAGTGGACCATCATACCGAGAACATGTTCCCGGACAGATGTTCCCTCCTTCATCCGTGAGTTGAAGATGAATTTGAGAGCTTCATGCATGACTTGTGAGGAAGGTTTTCCAAACATGTCATGCAATGAATCCATGATCTCGTGTGCAGTGATCATGGTCTCATTTTTCTTGTCCAAAACATCAGATATGCTGGCTAAGATGTAGACTCGAGCCTTTAAGTTGGCATTTGTACATCTGTCATATGCGATACGAACAACTTTCGTGKCGTSTGGTCCAGGGGCCTCCGAACAGGTCTCTGTTAAGACAGAGTAGAGATCATCTACTACGAGYATGGTGTTAAGGTTCATTTTCCACGTGAGATAGTTATCYCTAGTTATTTTATCGACGACGAAAAGTGAAATTAAAGATGTAGACATAATTGCTGAAACAAACAAATTATTTACATTAGAACTTTGCAAAAACTCTTTTAACAATCAAATTTAGCAAATTAAGAAAKAATCAACTCTAACAATTAAATAATTTGCAATGATACTCAATGATTTAGAACAATCGTCACCGAATGGTAGTGAATTATTCCCTCACTAAATTGAGACTATCTCAACCAAGCAYTATACTAGGATAACTCTTACCCCTATAATGATTAGCTACCATTTCCTTTGGTCTAGAAATCATTCACTAATTTAATAATTTCTTGTAAGTGTAGCCCTTTCATTTTAGACCTTAAAATTCCGCCCYGACATGCCCACCGAAGGGTAGGACAATACCGTTGCAAAAACTTTAGAACCCTATCCATTTCTGGAGTTTGCCATAGCACTGATCTCATGCAAACACTTCCGAAGGGAGAATGCTCCCAAGGCACCACGAGGCCGAGCATGAAACTCTTTCTTTGCAAACTAATAAAGGAGACCGTAGGTCACACGACCTTCTCCCACTGACTTTAAATACTTTCTCTATGCACCTTGATATTGACCCATGCAAACACCTTCCGAAAGGGAGGATGCTCCTAAGGCACTATGCGGCCGAACATGAATCTCACGGTGTGAACTTCACGGAGAGTATGAGGGAAAGAGTATATATTATACATACCTCGTATATGAAACATACTGGTATGTTATATAGATGCAGTAATCCTCCCACCAAGTATTTTATAACTTAAGGTTTATTATTTAAGAAAAAACCGGCTAAAACATTTTCCTTAAATAAAAACATTTGCCCAATACAACTTGTTTATATTGGATAGTTTTACACTAATGTTTTTAGTTTATGAAACGATTTAATAAACTAAAACATTATTGCATGCTTTTATAAAATTTTGACTAATTCAACCCCCAGGTCGGCTYCCATATAGAAGTGTTCCCRAAACGGTTAGTTTAAATACCTCAACCTAGACAGAACCTTGCTAAGACAKGATTCCCTTATAGGCAAGATTTTATAATTAAGTTTTATTTTTATTATTTTTATTTTTTAAGAAAAAACTCTAATCTTATTAGGAAAAAAAAACTTTAACGTAAGGTTAAATTAATTAATTTTAAAACTCTTTTTAAAACAAATTAAAACATGCAATACRAAGCTTTAAATATACATATAATTAAACTTACAGGTATGCATCAAATAACATTCATAAAAATATAACAATTATATTTACTAAAGAAATTCCATGCTCAATGCAACTTATTTTCCATTAATTAACATAACAATTATATTAATTACAAGAAAAATACATCATGCTTCATATAACAGTTACATTAATACAATGTATGATTATGCTATTACTTATGGTAGGATTTTAATCTAAATGACATACTTTATGCATCATACATTTAATTAAACATACGTTCATACATAGTTGCTGAAATTCAAACTCAGGACCTCTACTTCAACAAGGAAACATTGGACCGTCTGGGCAATCTCCCAACATTGTGAGAAATTTTGCAATCCGCCTATATTTGAGCACCCATCCAACTTTTTTTTTTTTCAAATTTACAGCCTCGGGTCTTCTCCTTCAATATCGAAAATTCTTCAAACTCGTGGCCAWAAACCTTTGAATTTATACAGACACGGACTTACACAATGATTTACAACATGAAATGACCAAAAACACCGGACCCTTTACATTGTCAAATCAAACGAATTTATAAATCTAAATGCCAAAACCAACAAACATCAAATTGCAAAAATCCATAAACCTTGAACATCAAAATGCATAATAAAACCCACCATATTTTCTACAAAATTTCAACAGAAAATTCAGAATGAAAAATCACGCTCTGATACAATTGAAAGGATGTTAATCCCGGAGCGGAAGCAGTAGAATGCATTCTTGAATTTCTTTTGAAATTGAAAACACATAAAATATAAAACAAGGAAGAGCGTTGAATTTTACCTTTGAAGATTCTCCTTCGTGTGATCCCAATGAGACAACACCACTTGATCTTCCTTGCTATGTCTTTCGGTCGAGAATCCAGATTGTGGGATCCAAGRATTGAAAGAGTAAGAGAGTTGAGAGATTTCAAGCCTTTAGCTTTTTTCCCATCTAGCATTCGTTTAGGGTTCAACTTATMTTTATATTTATAAAGAGGAAAATCCTAACATCATTAGGATATCTTATCCTTTTGAATATTAGATATCTTCTCTTGAATCTAGGGAAAATGCCAAGTCCATCAGGACATCTTCTTATTTTTAATTAATAATAAATTAATTAATTAAATCAATTAACAATTAATTAATTAAATTAATAATTATTAATCTAATTAATAATTAATTAATTTAATTATTAATTATTAATTATTAATATAATTAATAATTAATATAATTAAAATCAAAATATTAAATAAATAAATATATTATTAATTATTAATTATTTAACTTTTAATTAAATATCACATATTTAATTAAAACTATATATTTAAATCATATTCAAATGCATCTCTCTTGTATAACCTATAGTTTTAATATGAATCCAATTAATATTAATTACTTGAATCCTATTCAAATATTTTTCTCATAATATATAGTTTAACTATTGAATCTTTATTACAAAATAAACAATATATATAATGTATCATAATATACATTATATATATTCCCTGATATATAATTTGAACATTTCAAATTCTCTCAAAATCTTGATCATCGTTTTATCGTTGTGAGCTAGCAAGAGAACTTAATGGACATACAGATCAGAAGCTCCAACGATAGAAGATTAACYAGTCAAACTCATTAATCGAGTTAATYAACATTCGTTAACTGCAGGTCACTCCACTAAAGATTCGCAGTTGCACTCTTCTCACTACAGAATATTTTCATGTCCACGGATGTACAACCTTCAACGGCAAGTTAATCCTTCACGAGTGCTCATAACTCTAATTGGGTCAAATTACCRTTTTACCCCTAAGTACATCTTGCTCCTTAAATACCACTTCTCCTCTAATGAACAACCTGATTATGGTCCRATCAAAAACCGAAAGTCCCTCTCAGGCCAGTGAAAGGGTGGGGCCCTTTATTTAAGTCCCGGAGTCAGCACTAAAGGGAACACTCATCTACTCCYCTAAAGTCGGGGAGGAGTGAATTCCATCTTGTAAAGTTATGTTCCCAGCTCCATACTTGGYCTCGTCCCTAAAAYGGTAGGAATATTGAGTCAGCGACTCGGTCCGCTCTCACCCATACAAATCAAAGGACGTGTTCTAACAGGCAGGAGTCCATAGCTCASTYAGGATTGAGATCGAGTTACCTTGTTATCCTATTGAAATATTAAACTATTAGCTAACRGCGTTACAACTAAAGATTAATTATTTTGTGGTCCAATCTTATACAAACTCATTATATAGGATACCCCCACTTGCATTTCTTTACACGAATGACATGGATCAAGTCATTTGTGTTGGGTTTTATGTCCTAAAACTCATAGTTTGAAAATGACAGATATACTTTTATCATTCAATAAAGTTGTTATTGAAGGTTTTAATCAATAAGTAGTTATTGATCCAATAAAATATTCTTACTATATCTAAATCCAATAAAATAAAGGATCCTAGACTGTTACCTGAGACTCAAACTCTATGTAAGAGACATAAATATGGATCAAGTTTGAGTTAACAGYCTAAATGGTCTATAGTATAGGAATAAGGTTGGGCGCCTTATTCTGGGGACACTATGGATGCGGCCCACTTTGTAGCTAGTACAAACGATGTGATCCTAATTAGTTCATGTGAAGACATG